TTATTTTGAGTTCAAAGAAGAATAAATGACTGGAGGCTTACGCTGGCTGAGCCCATGGCTGACAACTGGCAGGATCGGGACCCAAACATGAAAGAAGCTGACTGCAAGTCTATTTCACTCCACTGTACACGTTACATTTCAAATTATTTGAATTTGGAATTCCTTGCCATGTATATATAATTTAAATCATTTTGTAAGCTGCAAAGCTGTGCCAGAAAAGTCTGTTGTTATTGTTACATCACATTCTTGAGGTGTTTAACTAATTCATTTATTTATCATCACATTTATAGGAAAAATTTATACACGTTCTGTAAAATAACTTTTTTGAAGTTATTTAACTATAACTTCAGCCACTGAAACCCCACACCTTAGTTGTATCTCAGTCTCATCCGTGAAATTGAGTATTAATTGCTTCCACTAGGTCAATGACTTATTTAGCAATATAAAGTTTTATGCTTAAAAAGTTATCATTTCAATCTAATGAAGAAGTAGAAATAAAATGCCATCAGTCAAAGTCAGATTGTAATATGATTTAGACAGAGACTAAGTTTGTGGCTCAGCGACACTCCATGCATGTTTGCAGGAGATCGACAAGCAAGGAGCTCAAGGTCGCACTGCTCATTTCCATCTCACAAGCAGATACTCCGCTGCTCCGACAAGGACTCCAATGTTTCTGAGGATTCAGATTATGTGAGCTCGAGTAATAAAAAAATGCTCCAGGGGAAATGGAATTTGAAAGTAAGTTAATTAGAGAACTCACTAAGAGTTGGGCAGGTACATTTCACACAGATGACTCACTGAAGTTTGGATCATACTAGAATTAGTCGTGATTTTCTCATCTGCTAGACTTGGAATTCCTATAAAGTAGGAATTGAATGAATTCGATCTTTGTAGAAGATGATGGGAAATAAAAAACAAGATGGGGGGAGAAGAGAAGTGGAAAAAAAAGACACGTTTTTAAAGAAATTACAGAAGAAATTATACGAGATAAGAGAAACAGGACATTAGGACAGTCTGACATGAGTTACATAAAAATGTGAATTCCATCATGTGGATATCATGGGAAAAATATAGTGAGATATTTCACAAAAGTTACATATAAAACTCAATTATGTGAACAGAAATCTGTACAAAATGCCATTTCATTCAAATTCTGGTCATCACCATTCATCTACATGATATCAAACTTGTCTAATTATTCAAAATCAGAGTTTGAAAATTGTTTCTTGTCAAAGTTTTGTGCAAAAAGCAGAATGTTGTGAGCTAGCACATCCCAAGGTCCGACACAGAAATGTTTGTTAAGATAGCAATTGGTGGGCCCGGCAGCATGGCCTAGCAGCTAAAGTCCTTGCCCTGAATGTGCTGGGAACCCATATGGGTGCCGGTTCTAATCCGGGCAGCTCTACTTCCCATCCAGATCCCTACCCGTGCCCTGGGAAAGCAGTCCAGGACAGCCCAAAGCCTTGGGACCCTGCACCCACATGGGAGACCTGGAGGAGGTTCCTGGCTCCCCGCTTCGGATTGGCGCAGCACCGGCCGTTGTGGTCACCTGGGGAGTGAATCATCAGACAGAAGATCTTCCTCTCTGTCTCTCCTCTGTATATCTGACTTTCCAATAAAAATAAATAAATCTTCTTTAAAAAGATAGCAATTGGCTGCTGCATTGCTGAGCCAATGGCTGAGAAAAGCGAAAGGACATATTTTACTTAGAAAAAGGCATGGACTATAAGGTTAATCTGATCTCATCAACTCCTTATTTAGGAATAGCTCTCTAAAATAGTCTCAAATGGAAGAGGGTTCACAAACTGGAATCTGTACCTAGGCATCTCACTTGACTGATTCCAGCACTCAGCTGCCATTTAAAACATCTGTAAGCTAAGCAACTGTTTAATATGACCTATAAGACTATGCAGTGCATAAGAAATGCAAATATTCCTCATGCTGGAAACTGAGGAATGTGACATCCATGGCATACTGCCAAGTTTAATTTCCTGTCTTGTTTTACGGATGGAATTAAGATTGCACTGCAAGCAACTAAATCTTTCTAGCCAATGTACCACAGGGGTGATTATAAACAAATAACCTGGATGTACAAAGGATCAAAACTAATCCAATAAGGTTTTTAGATATAGTTAAAAGTGAGTATTCTTACAAAAACACATATGTTTGTTTGACCATTTTCCTGATGTCAGGCTATACAAACACAAAAATCCAGGTTCAAATATCCAGATAATTGGGGAATTTGCCTTGTCATGATAATTTTTCCTTCACAAGAGATGCATTGCATCATCGGCTTTAAAATAAGAAATTGGTAGATTTTGAATATGTTGTCATCATCATTGGAAAGAGGTGCTCACTTGCACCTGCCTTGCTCAATGCTTTGCCCGTATTATTTCACTGAATCCTACTAGCCATCCTTTAGGGGATGGCTGCTCTCTCCACTTTAGGAATAACAATCTTGAAGTGTAAAAGGCTGAGGGAGCGACCAACACCTCATAGCATGGAGGTGGACGCTGGAATCTGAGTGAAGGTCTGAACTTACAGCCACACTGAACTTTTAGCGTTCATGCTATGAACTGGGCAGAAACCTAGGACTTCCCATCACACCCAGAATGAAATCCATAGCCCTCAGCCTCGTCCTTGTCATCTGCTCCCTGGCCACTGCTCACCCACCTACAAAGCCACACACGTTCTGGCCACCTGCTGCCCCTTGGAGCACTGTGCTTGGCCAGGTGCTTGTTCTCCCTGGCAGACGGCAATGCTTCAGGGGTCCATAGAGTCTGCTCCCTCCTTCCCCCGAGGATCATCCTCACGTGTCAGCTCTTCAAAGGAGCCTCCTGTGATCATCCTACTCCTCCCTCATCGTCACTGTCCCTTTAACTTCAAACCTTAGTGCCACATAATTCGCCTGTTCAGTGTCTGGTCCATGGGAGCAGGGCCTTATCGTTTCTGGGTCATGAGCTCCTAGGATGCTTCCTGGTAAAGAGCACATGATTTTGAGGTTTTTGTGGAATCACTGAATAAAAAATTAAGTGCATGTGCATTTCAATACACAGTATTTGTGTCATGGATAGGGAAGCAATGATTAGTAGGGAAATCAAAAGTTGAAGTGTCTTCCAACGCTTAGGCTGCTTTCTTACAGTAGCAAGTGCCTGTGCAAATCCATGCGCCCCAAACAGGAGGAAAGATGGGTAACTACGAAACATCTGATTTAACTTCTATTGGAAAGGCACAGGGAGGGTGGGGAAGGCTGATTGTGCAGGACCAACTAAGCAGGAGGGGCAGGCTGGAATGAGCTTCAGATGTGTGTGTGAGCTCGGCCTGTGCCTGTGGCATACGCTGCCTGAGATGCTGGGATCCCAAACGGGTGCTGGCTCATGTCATGGTGCTCAGGTTCCTGTTCCTGTTCTGCTAGTGACCTGGCCAAGCAGCAGAAGATGCCTAGGTGTAGGCACCTTGTCACCCCTGTGGCTCCAGGCTGCTGTGGCCATCTGGGGAGCGAACCAGCGGCTGGAAGATCTCTCTCCATTTCTCTTAAAAATAAACAAATCACTTTTAAGATGTTTATGTGTGAGCTAAAATAATAGCAAAAAAATTTTTGATACAAATCCTCTATTGTTAATCAGAAAACTCTGATAAATTCTACTGCTGCTCCAGATATCTAGTCAGATCTGAGATCTTCCACAGAAATACTCCCAGAGACTCCCATAGCACCATACGTCACATGTTCTCATGAAAGCAAATCACAGACTACCAGTCCTTCAGCTGATGCTGAGCCAGGAGCAGCCCGGGGCCCGGCTGCACCACCAGCCAGGGCTCAGCCCTAGTCCTTCAGCTGATGCTGAGCCAGGAGCAGCCCGGGGCCCGGCTGCACTACCAGCCAGGGCTCGGTCCTAGTCCTCCCGCTGATGTAGACCAGGAGCAGCCCGGGGCCCGGCTGCACTACCAGCCAGGGCTCAGTCCTAGTCCTCCAGTTCCCATGGCACAGAGACTCCCAGGAAGCTGCAGTGTAGAGATGTGCTCAAAGCAGCCGCTTTATCCGCAAGTGCACGCTGGTTGGTGTGACTTGCGAAGTGCCAAATCACACTGGTCTGGCAGTATTACTACTTGCAAAGAACACAAAGAGAAGGTCTGTTTATTAACTTGAATGAGAAAAGTGTCTCCAAGACACTTGAAATATATTAATAAAGATAAGTGGAAATGAGAATAAAATATTTTTTGTTGTCCTTTCATACTCACAATGACATTAAACAGAGTTTGGATATAGATGTGACTGTGAATACAAACAACACAGAAATAATGAAAAGAAGTACATTTTCACAAGAAGCCTATTTTTAAGAATATGAAATATTGGTGCTAAGATTAGTGATATATGGTTTGTATTAATTCCATGACAACAGTGGATTAGCACACAGAGAGGAAAATAAAATTTTAAAATAAAACAAAAAGCTTTCTCTTGCCTGAGATCACATCCATTATGTTTTATGGCACAGTAGGGCATTTTATTTAATAAATATAATGGTTAACTTTTCAAAATAGAAACCCTGTGGAGAAAAAGCCTTATAAAAAGCAATGTATAAAGAGTAAATGAAGTCAAAGTCAAGACTGTGGTAAACCCATGAGAGTTTTGCTAAACATGGTTATTAAGACTTTTTTTTTTAAATTGGAAAGTCAGATATACAGAGACAGAGAGGAAGATCTTCTATCCATTGATTCACTCCACAAGTGACCGCAATGGCCAGAGTTGTGCCAATTTGAAGCCAGGAGGCTGGAGCCTCTTCCGGGTCTCCCATGTGGGTGCAGGCTCCCAAGGCTTTGGGCCGTCCTGGACTGCTTTCCCAGGCCACAAGCAGGGAGCTGGATGGGAAGTGGAGCAGCCGGGATTAGAACCAGCGCCCATATAGATTCCTGGTGCATGCTAGGTGAGGACTTTAGCCACTAGGCTACTGTGCCAGGCCCTGTTGCTAATACTTTATAAATGAAAGATCCATTCAACTTACGAGAGATTTATCAGGATAGACCCCAGCCCTCAGCAGCGATGCCTTCCAGCTGTCTACATCCTCCTGTGAGTCACACGCCAGTTCAAGGAAGCGGTAGTCTTTGTATACATTCCTGTAGTTGAAAAAAAAAATCAGGCTTTCAGTCTTGCAGCAAATCCAAAATGATACAAACGACAGTCCAAGTGGATAGCTATCTTACAGTCACTAGAAGCAAACACAGTGTATTTAAGAACAATTACCAAATGTCCATCATATTGTATACTTTTCAAACCCTTATATTGAGTAACTAATCAGTTATACTTATTGTTGAGCAAATTAAAAAGGAAACAGAGTAAATGAACCAAGGAAAACACAAATACAATCAACCTTCTGCACAAGGTGCCAAGTACTTGGGGATTAATTGTGCTGCCAGGAAAGCATTTGTTGTTGCCTAGGAATCAGTTCAATTTTTTAAAGCTTTTTACAAGTCTGCATAAACAGCTCATAAAACTTTAAAATGCATGAACCTAAAACACACACTGTTACATTAAAAATAAATAATGCTCATCAAATTGCTAAAAAGAAATAATAACCAATATTTCATAGGGTTAGATGCCTCTGATGTGTAAACTAGAGGAAAAAAAAACCATAACTATGGGAACTGGCAATGTGGCACAGTAGGTTGAACAGACACCTGGCACGCCCACAGCACATGCGGGAGTGCTGCTTCAAGGCTCACTCCTCCACTTCCAGCCCAACTTCCCCCAACGTGCCTGGGAGACCGCACTGACGGCTGAGCGCTGGGCTTCCTATGGCCTGATGTGGTTCTACCTGGCCCAGCCTTGCCTCTTGCAAGATTGGAGAGTGAGCAAGCAGATGGAAGATCCCTCTCCCTCTGACTCCCCACCTTTTTTGTCACTCTGCCTTTCAAATAAACACTTTAAAAAAAATGACACCTATCATTCAGCTTCCATGACTCCCATTCAGTCTTATTTTGTCACGTTCTTTTGTGCATGTTTTTGCACTGTTGAGACACCCTCTCCCTCCCCCACCCCTTCCCCACTATTTCATCATCATCTTTGTCTGGCACTCTTACAATAGACTCCTTACTTGTCTCTCGGTATGCCCTGGATCCTTCAGTGTGTTCTGCTCTGTATCCTCATGACCTTAGGCAAACGTGTCCATGTATTTTCCTCTTGGCTGAGACTTCAATGGCTCCCCGCTTTCAGAAACAGCACGTTCCTACAACGGCTCGCAAGGACTCCGCCCTCCAGAGCCCCCTCTTCTCCCTGGCCTTCTTTCACGTCTTGGAGTGTGCCGATGTGTGGTGCTTACTCCTCATGCATGAACATGTGGCCCTTCCTTTCTCTTCCTCTCTCCTTGGACAATTACCTCCTACTCTTCCTTGGGAAACTCAGGAAACCCCTGCCATATTTCAATTTACCTTTCATTTATAATACTTCTTACAGCTATAATTTCAGAATTTTGTGCTTCTTTTTAAATTTGGCTTTCCTCCCTTCTTTCCCTTCCTCTTTTCTTTCTTCCTTCCTTCCTTCCTTGCTCCGTGTTTTTACAATATTTATTTATTTTTATTGGAAAGTCAGATATACAGAAAGAAAGATCTTCCATCCGCTGATTTACTCCCCAAAGTGGCTGCATCGGCCAGAGCCGAGCTAATCCAACACCAGGAGCCAGGAGCTTCTTCTGGGTCTCCCATGTGAGTGCAGGCTCCCAAGGCTTTGGGCCATCCTCAGTTGCTTTCCCAGGCCACAAGTAGGGGGCTGGATGGGAAGTGAAGCAGCTGGGATTAGAACTGGTGCCCATATGGGATCCCAGTGCGTGCAAGAAGAGGACTTTAGTCACTAGGCTTCTGTGCCAGGCCCTTCCTATCCTTTGCATTCCTTTCCTTTTTCCAAACCTCTCTGCTGTCTTTCATCCTCCCTCCATTCCTTCCTCTCTTATTTTCTTATCCTTTTTCCTTCTCTTTGTCCCTCCCTCCTTCCATATCTCCTTCTCCTTTCCCCTTTTCCTCATTTTTTCTTTTCTTTTTAAAAAATTACTCTTTTAAATTATTTTCCCTTTAACTACCCCATATACTCCAGGAGGACAAAGGGTGTATCATTTTCATTTTCACCATTATATCCTCATGGGATTCTGCAAAGATGACGCCTTTACTCAGGTCCAACACATGCTCTTTTGGGCAGCGAGGTAGACCTGTGGACTGGCTTTCAGAGGGCACGAGCAAGATGCTCTTATGGCTCCTTGCTGCTCTGGGTTGGGTGAGTACTTTGTGACCACAGCAGGAAGGTTCTAGGACAAGATCATCTTCCACAGTAAAGAAAAGTTAAAAGAAAATGTCTCTTCCAAACCTGCCCTACTCATGATACTTCAAGACATTTTCTTGACAGAGAAGAGGAATAGCACTCATCAAAACCAAAGGCGAATGCAAAGAACATCCCAGTAAGATAACAGAAGACTAAATCAACGAACAACCCATTGCTAAAAGACAGGACCAAATTACCACCTATTTGTATTAATCCTGAATCTCAATGGCTTAAACTCAAATGTCCTAGATAAGTAGACTGGATTAAAAAACAACACCCATTTATTTGTTGCCTACAAGAGACATATCTCATGAACAAAGACCAGTGGAAACTAGAACTCATGGATTTTGATGTGTTTTTCTTTTAGTTTCATATCTTCAAAACTCTTTCATTAAATTTTCACTGACTCATAGACCATAGAGTAGCATCATTTTCTTCAAGAAGATTCTTGATTTTTGTTTTCATTTCTTCAGCAACACCTTGGTTATTCAGTAGCATGTTATTTAATGACATGGTGTTGTAAATTTCTTCTTTTTCTTCCTATTGTTGATTTTGTTTTGTGGCTTTTCATTTAAGGGGATGTATAGTAACTGTGCAATGGAGACTATCACATCCAGATACAATGTAGTATGCATCTCTATTTCCAGATCAAAGATGGACTGTCAATGAAACTGTCAGATATATCTTGACAATAGGATGCTGGACTCTCTGCCATTGTCCGTGCCCACAATGACGGATGTATGACTGTTTATGAAGAACTATATTATAATAATGATATAGGGGAACTCAGTGGGGTGGGTGAGGGGATATAGGAGGGGGTAAGGGACTATGGAACTATATCATAAAATGATAATAATAAAAAAAGTTTAAAAAGAAACAATATGATAAATAAATTTAAAATAACATGACAGAAATAAAATCAAAATAAATCAATTATTAAGTTACTATAAATGAATTCTGTAAGTTGAACCATTTGTTTTAGATTAAAAAAATAAACTCAGGTATGTGTTATTTGCAAAAATAAAAAGCAAAAGCTGTCAGCCAAACACAAAATGAAATTTAAAAAGAACAAGGACAAATTTAAGAGCAGAAATAAACTTCAAAAGGCCAGCATGGTGACTCAATAATAAGAGTAACTCTCCACCTACAAGTGTTGGGATCCCTTATGGGCACTGCTGCGTGTCCCTGCTCTTCCACTTTCCATCCAGACCCTGCTAATGTGCCTGGGAAGGCAACAGAGGGCATTCCAAGTCCTTAGGGCCCTGTACCCAGAAGACTCGGGTGAAGCTCCTGGCTTCATATTAAATAACATAGTGTAAGTGAATGAAATAAATGCTACTAAAAATATACAGTCCAGGGCAAGTGTTCCGCGTGAGGGTTAAGAGTCCTGTATCCCATGCTGTAGAGTTCCTGGGTTGGACTTCAGCAATGCTCTTGATTTCAGCTTCCCACTAATACATTCTATACACGACAGTAGCACTGGGCCAAGGAACTGGGCTCCATGTCATCCATGTGGAATATTTCAATTCACCTCCTGCCTCCTGGCTCAGCCCAATTTAGATCATGGTGGGACTGGGGAAATATATTTGTAAATGGAAAATCCCTCTCTCTTTGCCCCTCAGAAAAACAAAACAACAACAACAAAAAGCTAGAAGATGGACTTAATGTAATCATATGTGTATGACTGAATTATAGACTTATTTTAGCACAACTTTCATTAAAAAATTGAAGTGTACTTTATTCAACCATATAAAAATACCAACTTTTAAAAATTAATAACATTTTAAAAATATGCTTTTTCAAGCTTAATTCAGAAAGAATTTAAAAAATCTGTTTGTAAAATGCTATAAGAATTAAAGTGATTTAGTCGGCTAACCTTATCAGCAGGATAAACATAAACTCAATGGCCTATAACTTTGAAATGGGAAATGTTTCATTTGCTTTAGGAATAAAGTCTATATAAAACACATAGAATAATTCTATTAAATTAGGGAAATTATAAAATCTTAATGAATAGCATAAAACAAGATTTTTTTTTTTTTGCTTTTCAACCAACTAACTGGTTATATTATTTCTGAATTTTGTTTTAAACATTTTTGGATTATCTTGTAATGTTTGTATTGGACATATCACAGTATTTTGACATTCACACAACAGGGTGTGTGGTTAGTCAAATAACTAGTCTTTCCTTTTCCTTATCTCCTACAGGCCTTTTTTTTTTTAAGATCAATTTTTTTTTTCCCTACTGGAAAGTCAGATATACAGAGAGGAAGAGAGACAGAGAGGAAAAATCCATTTGTTGGTTCACTCCCCAAGGGGCCTCCACGGCCAGAGCTGAGCTGATCCTAAGCCAGGAGCTCAGAAGCTTCTCTGGGTCTCCCACACGGGTGCAGGCTCCCAAGGCTTTGGGCCATCCTGACTGCTTCCCAGGCTACAAGCAGGGAGCTGGATGGGAAATGGAGCTCCCAGGATTAGAACCTGCACCCACATGGGATCCCAGTGCACTCTAGGCAAGGACTTTAGCTGTTAGGCTACTGCGCCAGGCCTGCATTCCTGTGACTTGTGTGCTGCGGAACCACAATTCCTTACTTCCCTTCGACTTGGATTCGGTGCCTGTTACCAGTCTCCCTGGATCCTCTCCCCCTTCACATTTTCCAGCCACTAGCAATCTCTATTTTAGAATCCAAATAGACTAATTTCCACATATGAGAGAGACCATGTGGAATTTACCTTTCTGTGTCTATCTTGAAATAAAATCCTTACAAATGAAAAGGTATGTTTAGTTGAATTGATTACATTGTGTCTAAAA